CTTACCAGCCCACGTCGGCATGGAGGTTTGATTCACGGCAGCGCAAGAAGAGCTGAAGAAGTCTGGGCTCGTGCGGGAGCAACGGGCCACCATCGTATCCTTCAAGTTTCACCCCGAGGACGAGCAGCGGTACGACGAGTGCTCGCCGGGCCAGCTTTTCCGCCCCCGCTACCTACCGCATGGAATCTAGCTGCAGGTGCACAGCTTCAAGGAGTCCCCGATTCCCCAGGAGGTCGCCGAAGTGCTGCTAGCAGGGCGCCGAAGGCACCGACGACGACGGCGAGGCCGAGGCGCGGGCAAGGAGTTTGCTCACGCTCACTCAGGCCCAGCGAACAGGAGGTCACGTGGCAACCGTGCGCCGTGCGCCGCCCGGGGTTCACCACGACGCACGCGTCGTACCTCACCTCCTCGCTGTCGCAGGGCCAAACGCTGCGCAAGGGCGTCACCATCGACTGCGCGAGGGACGAGGACGCCGGTCGCACGGGCAGTTCGGACGAGCACCGGTGACTGTACCTCTACGTCATGTCCTCGCGCGCCACGCGCATGCGGAACATGCTGATCCTGCGGCCGCCGCCGCGAGTTCCTGGAGCGAGGGCCGCCGGCATCCTTGCGGAAGGCGCTCCTGAAGTTCGACGTCAGAGCGGAGAGCTCCACGGCAGAAACGGAGCAGCTCGCGGCAGAGCTGGGTTTCGTGCTGCCCCCCGTCTCAGCGCGGCGGCGCCCCGCTCGGAGCCCGCAGGGTTGTCCCAACGGCTTGGTCTCGCGCGCCAGCTGCTCGCGGGGTTGCCCCGACAGCCTGGCCCGCGGGGCTGTCCCCGAAGGCTGCACGATTTCGACGTCGGAACACGCGCCCTCGCCACGCGTGGCGGGGAGGGCGCCAAGGAAAATCTACGCGCGCGCTCCTCCCACGAGGAAGGAAAGGTGCAGGAGGAAAACGAGCGGGGCGGCGACAAGGAGAGAGAGAAAAGGACGAAGAGGTGGAGGAGGACAAGGCAAAGGCCGAGGCGGAGGAGGAACAGGAGGAGAGGGAGGATGTGGAGGAGGCGGAGGAGGAGGAAGAGGAAAAGGAAGAGGATGATAAACGCAACGAGTAGGACGATAAGGAACAGGAGAAGGAGAAGGAGGAGAAGGAAGAGGAGGAGAAGAACGACTGAGAGAGCCGAAGGAAGGCTCCGCCAAACGAAGAAGAAGAAAAAGGCGAGGGAAAGCTAAATCGATTATCAGGTGGGGTCATACCGTCGGAGTAATGACCAACGGCAGCATCATCATAATCATCATCAACACCATCAGCATCATCCTCATAATCATCATAATCATCATCATCAGCAGCATCATCATCAGCAGCATCATTAGAATCATCACCATCACCATCACATCATCAGCATCATCATAAGCATCATCACCTGTATCAAGATCATCAGCAGCAGCATCACAACCAACATAATCATCAGGATTGTCATCCACAACATCATCTGCATCGGTATCGTCATCATCATCACTCAGCATCCTTCAGCAGCAGCAGCATCAGTATCAGCATCATCAACATCATCAGCATCAACATAAGATTCATCATAACCATCGTCGTCGTCATCATCACCATCACCACCATCATCAGCATCGTCATCATCATCACCACCATCACCATCGTCATCACAACAACAACCATAAAAAACAACAACAACAACAACAACAACAACAACAACAACAACAACAACAACAACAACAACAACAATCAGATTGAGACTGGTCGCTCTTGTCTGCTCGAGTGTCCGTTGACGCGTAGTTCCCAAACCCTCGATACCCGCCCTCTTCGTCTTCGATCGTACCCCTTTGGGGGGTTTACCTTTCTTCCCTGCAGGCCGGTCCACGGCAAGCGGCGGGGCGGCCGCGGACCGTCGGCCTGGCCAGCGGCAGCGCTGATCGGCGGCAACCCGACCCCAAGGAGGACGGACAGGGGACCGACCACGACGACGACGACGACGTCGTCGACGACGACGGCCTCGACGACGACGACGACGACACGAGCGAAAGCGAGAGCGAGAGAGAGAGAGAACGACAGCAGGGCCACGAAAGACACGAAGTAGGCCACGAAGGGCGACAGCGGGGACACGAAGGGGATGCGTATGGGGCCACGAAGAGCGCGAACAAGAGGGGGCCACGAAGGGCAGATAATAAGGCCACGGAAGGCAACGACGGGGCCACTGAGGGCAGCAACGGGGCCACGTAGGACAGCGAGGGGGCCACAAAGGGGGACAGCGGGGCCACGAAGGGCATGCACATGGGGCCACGAAGAGCGCGAACAAGCGGGGGCCACGAAGGGCAGCGAGGGGGCCACGAAGGGCGACAGCGGGACCACGAAGTGCATGCATATGGTGCCACGACGGGCGCGGACGAGCGGGGGCCACGAAGGACATACATAGATGGGACCACGAGGGGCAGCGAGGGGGCCACGAAGGGCTGCAACGGGGCCACGTAGGACAGCGAGGGGGCCACGAAGGGC